AACTTGCATCTATATATCCTTATAAGCATATATACACAGTTTTTCTGGGGGAAAAACTTTGTCCTATTATGTTCTTTCTTTATTATTTATTAATTTGGTGCAGCATTTTGTCCTTTTAAAAATAAAAGATCACCTATGCTTTTGAGAATAAAATTGATCAGATTGAATGACATGTCTCTCCCACTGCAGAGGAAAGAGGAAGCACATGTCATCCATGCTTCTATCATGCTCACATTGGAGCTGGTCAACACACTGGACAAATGAAACAAAGCTGCACACTATTTGCTCCCCTTAAGGTGGTGAGCTGGATGCAGGAGACATATCACCCAGTCCATCCTACTGGAGTCATAGCCCAGACGTGAGGCTCAACTTCATCACTGCTTGGATCCCACAAATTTCCAAGCCAGCAATTAACAGTAGTAGAATAATTTGCTTTACCCTTTTCAAGAGATTCTTCTAATCTCATTTGCTATTCAAGGGGTTTTCTGAGTTAGTTGTGATGACATAGGACATATTCCTCTCCTGCACAAGTGGATCATCATAACTACAATGCATTTCCCAGTGAGAGGCTGACCTTCAAAAATCTATTCTAGAGTACCTCCACAATTCAACTGGAAGGTCTGGAATTATTTTTAACTCTCCCTTTTTACACAACTGTTATAACCTGATTAGTTTCTTTCATAAGTTGTCTTCTAATTAGTTGGACATCCAGGATTCTGAGGATCCTGTCAAGCTTCCTTTATCCAGCCCCATGCCTGCTATGTAATGGACAACCTCTGACTTCATATTGCCAAACTATGATTTTAATGTGACATGGTGCAAGGCTCTCAATAATCATACTAACAATTGCTTTGTACATCTGTGTGTAATTTTTAAAAAAGCACAATTCATCTGCTTATTGTTCACCTCTACTTATTAATATTATTCCTTTGTTAAGTTTATGCATCCATCTTTTATACCCCAAAGGCTGATCACTATCATAAAAAGCATAATTACAACAACAACCATAAAGCAATTACTACAATAAATGTCAGAGGCTATTAACATTAATCTGTAGACCTTCCTGCATTTTTTAAAAATGTATGGCAGAGTGCCAAGGGTGAAGACTTTGGTATATGCATGCACGTCCTCTTCACTCTGTCTCTCAGACATCAGAGAGAGAGAGAGAGAACACCCCACATTTCTTATGGCTGAAGGATTTCTGGATTCTCAGTAAAAGATAAAGATACATTGGCAGACTGACAAAAGCTCAGATGCTTGGCACTCCACTATAGCCAGACAGATCAGTGAAAAGACGGGGGGAAACCCACTAGGGCTCATGGTACTATCAAGATCCAACAAATTATATTGTTTTTGCTCCTCTATATCGCTAAGAACACTACTACTCATTATTGCCCACCAAGAAGCAGCCTCTACACCAGGGGTAGGCAACCTTTTTGAGCTGGGGGCCGGGTTGCTGTCCCTCAGGCAATTGGGGGGGGCCGAAGCACCAAAAACAAACAAACAAACAAACAAACAAATAAAAATATTTTTTAAAAAAATAAAAAAATTAAAAAATATGCATGCACACTCTCTCAGCCCCAGAAAAGCCATGGCAAAACCCCTGTGGAGATTTTGCCAAGAAAACCCCAAGAACAAGTAATAACAACAATAATCAACATTATCATGGCGGGCAGCGGCAGCAGTGGGGGGCAGTGGTGGCAGCGGCGGCAGCAGAACCGGTCTGGGGCCGGTCCAAAGGCCTGGGGGGGCGCATCCGGCCCCCGGGCCTTAGGTTGCCTACCCCTGCTCTACACCTAAACATTGCACACCCATTCCTTTGCACCCTGCAAAGTGTTGCACCCAATGTTGTCGTTGTTGTTGTTGTTGTTGTTGTTGTTGTGTGCCTTGAAATGATTTCTGACTTATGGTAATCCTAAGGCAGGGTTTTCTTGGCAGGATTTGTATAGAAGGGGGTTGCCATTGCTTTTCTCTGAGGCTGAGAGACTGTGACTTGCCCAAGGTCACCTAGTAGATCTCCATGGCCGAACAGGGATATAATCCCTGGTCTGCCAGAGTCCAAGTCCAACATTCAAATCTCTATGCCACATTGGCTCTCTACTCAAGACTCACAGCCAAAGAATATGACCTTGCCCTACATCATTGTTCCCCATTCTGTGATCCTCCTCCTTCTTCCATCAATTTATCCTCAAAAAACCAAAACAAAATACACAAGCCCTTATGAACCTAACCTCCTTCCTCTCAGTTATCTTATAGTCTTTTCCTTACTGGATTGTGGTGGGACAGTGCAATTTCATAGTGAAGCCAGGGCTTGTAGGGTCCAAATACCACCATCACCAAAATCTCTTGAAGCTCTTGACTGTGTGTACATAGGTGCATAGACAAAGGACATGTGCTAACATATGATTACATGCAAGGGTTGTCCTTTTCTTCCTCCCCTTTCTTTTGAATTGCTCTTTGAGAGGATGCTGCCTGCCAGGCTGATTATCTTTGTTTTCTGTGTTATTAACTATACTTGAGTGGTTATTTTATTGACCTTGGAGCACTTGTTATGGGGATTTGAGAGCCCCAGATCTACTGGTAAATCAGCAGAAGTGTTATAGCTCAGTGATAGGCCACGTGATTTCCATAGAAAAGGTGCCACATTCAATATCTAGCATTTTCAGATACAGCTGAGAAAAACTTCTGTCTGTGTAAGCAAGGAATGACCAGCTGGGTAGGAGGCAGGTGCCAGTTTTTGCCTCCTCACCCCGCAGGCCAAACCAGTATGTTGCATCACACCAAAAATATTATCACATTACAGAGGGGCCTTGGTATCCACTGTGATTTGGTTCCATGACCCCCTTTGGATACCAAACTCCATGGATGCTCAAGTCCCATTATCTACAATGGCATAGTAAAATGGTGTCCCTTATATAAAGTGGCAAAGTCAAGGTTTGTTTTTTGGAATTTATATTTGTTATGAATATTTTCAAGCCATGGATGGTTGAATATGTGGATAAAAAATCCATGAATATGGAAGGAAAACTGTTGTTGTTGTTGTTGTTGTTGTTGTTGTTGTTGTTGTCATTTCCGACTTATTGTGAACCTAAAGCGAGCCATGGGGTTTTCTTGGCAAGAGTTGTTCAGAGGAGGTTTGCCATTGCCTTCCCCTGAGGCTGAGAGCATGTGACTTCCCAAGGTCACCCAGTGGGTTTCATGGCTGAGCTGGGAATCGAACCCTGGTCTCCAGAGTTGTAGTCCAAACTCAAACCACTAGGCCATGCTGGCTTTTTTTTCAGTCCCTTCCCAAAAAATGAACTTTTAAGGAGGGTTATTGGTTCTGGGCATATGGGAACACAAAATGGCAGCTTGGTAAAAATGGCTTGCAAATGAACCCACCTTTTTAAAAGTGAGAGGAGGCTTTGTAACCACAAAAGTGAGGTTCATACAACTCACAGGCTTCACTTTCCTCATCCCTGGTGAAGACTATGCTTGACCTAGATGGACCAATAAGTATTAGTGACTTGCCTGTGTGCAAGAAGCAAACTATATGGACCCTCCAACATTTCACAGAAGAAAACCAGGATAGATGTAGCCAAACTCTGTTTGTTTTAAAATGCTGTAACCCGCCCCAATTGCCGCGCAGAGTGGCGGGCTATAAATAAAAATGTATTATTATTATTATTATTA